CAATCACAGATTTTGTGTGCAGCCTGCGACTGACATCGCAGTTGTTGTGTGGCAGGGTGGCTGTGACAATCACAGATTTTGTGTGCAGGGTGGGACCTGACATCGCAGTTGTTGTGTGCAGGGTGGGAGTGACATCACAGTTGTTGTGTGCAGGGTGGGACTGACATTACAGTTGTTGCGCACATAGCTATACTGACATCACAGTTGTTGTCTACATGATGGCGATGACATCACAGTTTTCGTGCACATGTTGGCGCTGACATCACGGTTTGTTGTGTACAGGGTCTGCGCAGTTGTCGGCAGCGATCGCCTTCTCTCTCGCGCTGTTCTCTCACGTCATCAACCACGCCGTGAACAGACTGCAGGAGGAACTGTACAAGGCGGAGAACCCCAAGCTGTCGCTGGAGGAGAGCGACGGGGAAGGTACGTGCGAGCCGCGAGCTCAGTCGGGGCCAAACGATTCACCGGGCCGGTGTAATCCTACCGTGTGTGACCCGGGCAGACAAATCATTATCGTTACCTTATCCCTAAACTTAATTCTAACCTAATCATAACTAATCATAGCCCCATCTGGAGTTTTTTTTCAGAGAATGTGGGTGCAATTCGATGGCTATTAATTATATGAATTTTATTTCTATTTTTCAGCAGTTTATTCTTCACCGAAGAAACATTTTTAACACACACTAGAAAAATCAGTTCTGCAGTCTCAAAAAGTGGCTATTGACCATTGGATCTTGACTTTGGACCCGCCCCTAAACGTTAGCAGATTGACTGAAGTGTGAGCAGATCCCTATCAATGTCCCTACACTTCTCAGAATGTGGAGTGAACGTGGGTTGTTCTCGTAGGTTCGGGGACGCACGAACGCGCGGGCGGAACGGAGGATAACGAATCGTCGTCGAGGAAAACGCATCTGACGAAGCTGAGGAAGCGGAGAAGGAGACCGGGCAGCAGCAGCGAGTCCGACCTCAGCGAGGGGGAAGGTCAGTGTCCGACCTCAGTGAGGGGGAAGGTCAGTGTCCGACCTCAGCGAGGGGGAAGGTCAGTGTCCGACCTCAGCGAGGGGGAAGGTCAGTGTCCGACCTCAGTGAGGGGAAAGGTCAGTGTCTGACCTTAGCAGGGGGAAAGGTCAGTGTCCGACCTCAGCGAGGGGAAAGGTCAGTGTCCGACCTCAGCGAGGGGGAAGGTCAGTGTCCGACCTCAGCGAGGGGGAAGGTCAGTGTCCGACCTCAGCGAGGGGGAAGGTCAGTGTCCTGGGATGCGATCGCGCATCAGTGAGCTGGCGATATCTCACGAGCACGCCTCCGGAGAAGTGGGTAGTGGAGGCCATTCGGATGGCCCTAGTGTCCGTTCGGAATGCAAAGGACCAGATTTCCACCGTTTACCATGTTTGCCAGCTCGTAAACCGCTACTTGTGTTACAGCACATGACCCCCTATAATTAGCAGGTTAGAGTTTGAGAAAAACCTCCTTACGGTTTTTTTACGTCTAATCTATTAATTTGACGTGATGATTTTTGGGGCGGACATTCTTCAGGGAAAAGTCAGCTAGTAATCAGGATATAGTCGGCTAGTAATGGGAAATCAGAACGTTGAAACGTGCATATACGTCCGGTACGTTTTCTCCATTTTCGCGTCGAAAAATCGTTTGAGTTTTTTTTCTCCGACGCAGATTTTGCAGACTCGGACGAGGATTTTCTGACAGAGTCGGAGGCAGAGGACATCAACCTGTCGTCTGATAGCGGGAGTGAAGCCCTGTCTGAAGAAGCTTACGGAGACGCAAAGAGACGCGATGAAGGTAGGAGAGACTGCGCTTCAGTGATTCAGTATCATCATCTTCCACTTCTGCTAGTTTCCGCTCCGCGGGTACCATATCTTGCCCTCAGCATCATCTTAA